ATTTATATCTCCAGCATATAACTGAGTACCTTGAAAGTAGTAGGTATTTAATAAAAGTTATTTTGAATTAAATGTACAAACTGATTTGATTCATTTAGCTTTTTGGTCCAGTGATGTCAGTCCAAAAAAAGAAATGTCAAAGATTTAAATAAGCAGCATGGTACAATTTATTAAAGAATACACGATTCGAAAGCTCAGGACCTGGGTCCTGATCCTGGTTCTGCTGTTTATCACCTGGCTAGTCTTAGACAGATTGATTAATGTTTCCAGGCCTCAGTTTTCTCATCTGTAAAGAAAGAGGCTGAACCAGATAACCTCAAAAGGCCCCTTCCTTTTCTAATTTGTGATCATGTAATTTATCAAGCAACTTGCTATGTGCTAAAGGAACTTTGAGGGATATAAAAGGCATAATATTCAATCAGAACCCCAAGAAATAAGCAAGTCAGCCAAAACTCACAAAACATTTTGTGCATATGGACTCTATTTGCTTTCTCTTCTTTATAGTTTGAAAACTGCTACTTTTTAAAAAACCATTATGAATATATACATATATATATATATGTATGTATGTATTTAAATATATAAAGATATGAAATAAATTCATTAGAACCCAGGGTTCTTTGAAATGATTCCTCAAAACTAAAAATGTTCATTTTACTTTGGGGAGTTTTTTTTTGTACAACACTTTCTGTCCTTGATTTTTTGGGGCCCTTGCAGGGAAAAAATGACCAGGGCTAAATAGTTTAAATAAATCCCAATTTCCTTAGTCCCAAGGTATTGAATATCTAATCTTCAGATTGTCACCTGAAAGATCAACACATCTCCCCAAATAGTACAGTCACCATCATAAAAAATTATCTTGCTAAAATACAAGGATATAGTTTCATATGTGACTTTATCATGCAATTATAGTTTTGCATTATATGTCAGAGGTGGGATTTGAAATCAGGTCTTCAAGGCTAGCTTGCCGCTATACTAGCAGTTCTCAACCTTTTTGGTGTGAAGATCCTTCTACAGTTTTAAAAATTATTGAGAATCTTGAGCTTTTGGTTGTGTGGGTTATATCTATGAATATTTACTTTATTTGAAACTAAAAGATCTTGGTATTATTTTGAAAATAGTTTTGATTTTGCAGATCCCCTGAAAGGGTGTCAGTGACCAAGAAGGGGTCCGTTGACCACATTTTGAGAACTGCTACCCTACACCAAGGGCAGCTAGGTGGCACAGTGGGTAGTGTGCCTGACCTGAAGGTCAGGAAGATTCTCATGAGTTCAAGTCTAGCCTCAGACACTTATTAGCTGTGTGACCCTGGGCAAGTCACTTAACCCTGTTTGCCTCAGTTTCCTCATCTGTACAATAAGCTGGAGAAGGAAATGGCAAACCACTCCAATATTTTTGCCAAGAAAACCCCAAATGAAGAGTCAGACGCAACTGAAATGACTGAACAATAACAAGAAAGTCCTACACCATGCTGCCTTTTTAAAAAAAATATAGAGAGAGCCATTTTGAAAGAGCGAAATGAAGGAAAACATTCTCATTTGTTCACCTATCCCTGGAAAATCAAGCATTTTGCTGTTTTTGAATCCAAAGTAACTTAATTTTTTAACCAATCATCTTCTTGAAGAAAACTTCTTTCCCATTGCTATCAGTATCCCTGGTCTTTTGCAATCACAGTTACTTCTGGCTGTAAGTTGAGAGAAGAACTGCCAACTATTTCTTAGCAGACGATACAGCCTGTCTTGGGAATAATACCACAGCTAAACATCTGGTGAGATCAGGATGGAATCACTTGACCTCCACATGTGGTCTCTGTCAAGTAGATCAACTAAAACTGGAAAGATAGTTAGCAAGCATCTTCACACATTGTTCAATATAACCCTATACCTCTCCTGTGTGAAACATGAATTAAATTAACTGCATCTGGTTTACTGGTCCCAGAGACCAACAAAGCTGTCAGATCTGAACTCCACATGGTAAAAGAAATTATATACCAAAATATTACTGAAATAGGTGACCATAACCAGCTGAGTTCACCTGCATTTGTGCACATGTGAATGGTGCAGCTCAAATGTGAAAATCTGCTGTTTTGCAGATAGGTTTGTCTTTATGCAGATATATAGATGGACCCCCTCCTCTCCTACCTAAATTCTGAGAACCGTGTAGGTATTTCACAGTAGTTTCACAAACCATGTCAGTGAGCAGGAGTAAGACTAATTTAGTAGAGCTGTGTAGTGCTTATTCTGGAAGTTAGAGTCATCTTTGGACTGCGTGTTTTACTTACAGTTTTTCAGTGAAAGGTTAGATGACTTCCCCAGAGTCACACAGCCTTTAACTTTTAAGTTTTAAAGCCTTCCGTTTTTCTCAAGTACACCTGCCTGTTTCTTTTGTAAAAAGCACTACCTACACACAACAGAAAGCAGCATAAAAGTTAACCACCCTGCATAATTTTTCTGTCATAAACAAGCAACTAAGTTATATAGGTTTAAAAAAAAATTCAGCCACTAGGAAGGAAAGGAAAGGAAAGGGAAAAAAGTATACCCGTGAGATAGGAAAAAGGAATACCTCTTTTATAAAAAGGTCAAGGCAAAATGGAATTGTTTGAGGATGTTGTCTCTGGGTGTTTGAGGTTGCCTTCCTTTTCAACTGACTATGGCAAAGAAGAGGATTACATTGTATTCAGAGGAAGTTGAGTTCTCTTGCCAAAACAAACATCCCGAGAAACCTGTATAGTCTACACATCTCAACGCATGTGGAATTATTTGGTGTTACAAAGTGACTTCCTTGAGTGGAAATCATATGGTAACTAATAATGAAATTTTGCAGAGAAAGGAAATTGCTGCTATTTTAGTCATTTAACATCTCAAATTTGTTTATGGATCGTTTCCTGTCTGACACATTCAGTTGAACAAGTTAGTGTTTGAAGGAGATTATTCATTTTTAACTGGCTTTCGTTTGTGACATTTCACAAAGGGTGTTTTTAATAAAAACAAACTGAACAGTGAATTTACTCCTTCTCCACAAAGTGACTTTGTCTTGACATCGAGGGAAGAAAAAGACAAAAAAAACCAAAATTAACTTTTTTTATGGATTCATGCTCCAAGGACTGAAGCTCTGTGTGAACTTCATGAATAGGTCTTAGACATAAAAATGGTCAGCAGACCGTATCGTTTTTATCATCCTAATTTATCTATAAAACACATGGACAGTGAAATGTCTCTTGCCCTCAGTGAGAAAGTAGTATCCAAAGAGTTTGGAATTGTTTCTTCTCACTATGCTTGTCTTCCCCCATATTTTAAAGATTATGCCTTTATTTGCTTTAAGAGAAAATCTGAAGATTGTTCTCAGGTTGCAATTTTTTTTTAATGGTTTTCTAACCCTAATTCCTTTTGTCTACCAGAGTCATCAGGCAGGCTTCTTTTTTCCTTATACTTCCTTAATGACCTTATCTGCCTTCTCAATTGCAGCTGTAAGTGGTAATCCTCAAATCTTGAAATCTCTGTCTTATTTGCATGCAGTAACACCTCATCTGGGCTTTGTTTTTCTTTCTTTCTTTCTTTTTTCCCTGGGGAGGGGTGAAAAGAAAGAGTGGGAGAGAGTTATAGAGCCTACTCTTACCTCAAATTCTATAGAAAAGAGTTAATCCTTATAGCTGTAGTGAATATATTTTCTAAAATTGCCTTCTCTAGGCCTGAGCCAGTTTTTTTTTCTGCCCTTTTTTTGTTGTTTTGTTTTGGTAGGGGTATGGAGATCAGCAATTTATCTGTAATTTACAGCCTTAAAGAGTTTCTGGGGCACTGAAAGGTTAAGTTACTTGCCCATGGTATATGTCAAGGGCAGGATTTGGAGTCAGAAGAGAACTAGGTTCAGAGCCAAACCTTTTGTCCACTATACCACACTGCCCCTCTCAGCCAGCATAAGAATCATAGAGTTCTTTGTTGTTTCCATCAATTACTGGACATGTTCGTGTGACAGATGTAAAAAGACTAAGTTTTATTTTCTTTTGCCTTAACTTTATACGTCACCAATAACAACAGTCCAATCCTGTGTCTTACATTCAAACTGGAAATGTAAAAGTCTTCTTGACTTTTTCTTCAGTCACACCTTTATTTTCTGACTTCTCCACTGGGTACACCCAAGTTTTCTCCCCCTTAATTCTGCCTCAGTCATATACTGGATTTTCTCTTCTCTTACTAGCATTCAGAAATTACCAAATAACATTTTAATCTAACTTTCCATATTTGTCTTAAAGCAATCTGTTGTCAACCCACTGAAGAAAACTTTTCAAAAGTTTAGACCTACTCAAGAGGAATAACAGTATGTTGATTTTTTAAAAAACCACAGTCTTCATAGTTGGCTAATCTAGCCCCAGGCTGTTAATTTATCTTTGAAAAGTCCACAGGTTAGGTATACTATCTTTGTCTTCACATACTGCACAGAAAGTTGTATGCTTAGTGTGATATAGTTAGAGCTAGAAGGGATATTAAAGATCATAGAGTCGAACCCTCTCATTTTACGGATGAGGAAACCAAAGCAAAGGGTAAGTGATTTGCCCAGGGTCACACAGCTATTAAGTGTCTGAGGCCAGACTTGAATTCTGGTCTTACTGAATCCAGGCCCAGTGCTCTATCCACTGTCCACCTACCTAGATGAAAGAGAAGTAACAGAAGGAGCAAATTCCTAGAAGGCACTATAGGAGATGTTGAGATCAAAGGCAAAAGTAAAGGAATTAGACTAGATATGGAAGAAGATTGCCTTTTTTGTTAGAGATCGGAGAAAATGTAGATTTTTTTAAAAAAGATACACGATTAAGGAAAAAAGGGGGGTCAGTACAGAAAGCTTCCATTTTTCCTACTAAAGTAGGAAGCAAGGATCCCTATTAATAGGATTAATAAGTCAAGTCTACAACACAACCCACGTGCTAAGCCTGGGAGTACAAATACAAACAAGAGAGACAGTCTCTGACCTCAAGGACTTTACAGTATAAATGGGGGAGGGGGAGGGGAAGGAAGAAGAATACATAAAAGGGAGCTAAAACGGGGATATTTGGGTTGAAGGTGGCCAGAGGCAAGGTAGAGAAAGGCCCATGTAGATGAATCATCAGTGCAGCCAGGGGAGAAATGAAGACTTGATTGGCCTAGGCTTACTCATCAAAATAGAGGTACTGAGAGAAACCAGTCAATCAAAAAGAGCAGCCCAAGGGGCAGAGAGTATTTCCAATTTGAAAGGTAGTACTAGAGTGAATTAAGCTTCCAGGTAAAAGAGGTTTCTATGGCATGGCAGAAAAAAAGCTCGGTGGAGATAAGTTAGCAGTACAGCCTGGAGAGTTATGGGGACGAAGGGAGATGGAAGGAAGCAAGTGTGTTTTGGAAACCCTATGTAGAGAAGATTTGGATCAGCTGTTGGGAACAGGGTATTAGAATGTAAATTCTGTGAGGGTAAGTATCATTTCTTTTTTTTTTTTTTTATTCCCAGCATCTAAAATGGTAGGTTATTAGGGCACATATTAAGTGCTCAGTAAATTCCTATTGATTGATCATCAGTTAAGTTGATATGAATCATTATTTTAGTTTTCCCTAATCAAAGAACTTTGGCACCTAGTGAGAGGTTATCTGGTCCAATCCTCTAATTTTACAGATAAGGAAGCAGAGATCCAGAGAAGACAAGTGGCAAAATCAAGAACTTACATCCTTTCACACCAAGACAAGTATCCTTCCATTATCCCTCACTGCCTCTCCCTCAGTCTGCAGCCAGCTAGATAAGACCCCAGCAAAAGAAAGGGAATGGAGATCTGGCTGTCCCAACTTCCTTCTGAATTAAAAAGCTGATAGGAATCCAGTTTCCTGGACTCCAGTGTTGGGTATACCCTTTTTTTTCATACTTACTTTTGCTTTTCCTGATTTTAGCCTGCTTAATCTGCACTCCATTGAATACACATCTGCAAATGGGAGCTAACAACTGCTGATTTCTTCCTAACAAGCTCACTGTCATTGGGCAGACTCAAACATCCTCTATAATCCTAGAATCTAATTAAAGTTTTGATCTTTCACAACAGTACATCGTGCTTTCCACATTCTTAAAATATTCCTTCAATAATACTGTAAAGATCTCTCAAAATAACATTGTGTCCAGAAATGAATTTGATTGGAAATCTCCTGCATCCTGTGTGGTCTCCCAAAGAAAGAGGGCTGAGGGCTAAGGGTGAATTGTACTTGTCAGATTTAGGTCAAATAAGAACATTTTATCTCAGTTATAAGATGGCCATTGTATTCAGAAAACAGGCAGTCTTGAGGCAAGTTGGCTCTCTGCTGCTAGGTTACAGGAGAAGAAACCTTACAACAATCTCATCAAATCTGACTTCTTATTTTTTCTAACCTAAAAAATCCAAGCACTGGGAACAGCGAATCTCAGGGAGGGAAGGGGACTGATAGCAGAATGTGGATAGCAAATTACTTCAGATCATATTGTTAGGGCCTGGTTCCTTTCTAAAGGAATCAGTCAGCCATGACAAATGAATTTCAAGTTCTATTGTTTGGTTATACTCAATTCCAAAAAAAGAAACAATGCCCTTGTAGTTCTTTGTCTTTTTTTTTCCAGGTTTACTTCCCAGACTGACCAAGGTTAACATTAAAGAACCAACTGAATAATTTTTATGCTGTGCCCTAAAATTGAATTAGAGTAAAACTCTCTGAAGACTTTTTAAAAACCAGAATGTTTAAGAGGGAAGTGGAATATTATTATATCATAGAGTACCTTCTTACTGCAAAAACTGAAGAATTTGAATTAATCATACAAGAAAGCTTTATAAAAGGGCAGGTTCTTTGATAGGAGATTTTGCAATATAGATTTTTCTTATACTTAGTAGCATATCATACCTTATGTAAACTTTTCCTCTCTTTTAACTTCTAACTTATGGTTGACTGAATTAGAGAACTAATTTTTATGAGGTTTAGATTAAGCCTTCCTTATTAAAATGGTTCATATTTTATTTCCTCCGTCTCCTTTCTAGGTTGGTTTGTGCTGGACACTTCTGCTTGATCTCGTAAGAATTCTGCCTGAGTTCAACTTTTAAAACTAACAGCTCTTGTAAGGCAGCATAGACTTTCAGAGTAGGCTGTCATCTACAAAGAAAATCCATTCTGTGGGTAAAGAAGGAAGTGATACATCTCTGAGGAATTTAACTGTGCTGGGCTAATGTGTTTTACATATTCTCTTGTCTCCAATAAGCGCCAAGGGAGTTTTTATCAGTTACAACAAATAAAATAAAATGGCGCTAGTTGGTTGCTTCCTATTTTCTTCATTTACTCTGTATCCTCTGTGTACCGTGACATTTATGTTTTCTTCCCCATTGGAATGTATGCTTCTATTTTTGTTTTACTTTGGTTTTTGTTGTTGTTGTTGTTGTTCTGTGTGTGTGTTTTACTTCCTTTGTCTCCTTAATGCTTAGCCTAGTGCCTGGAACATAATAAGCAATTAATGAATGCTTGTTGACTGACTGACATCAGGTAAGTATAGTTGGATGGAGAAAATAGATAATTATCATCCCTAGGTCTAGGAAGATTCCAAGAAAACCTAGTTAGGGGATGAAATGATAAAGTTTAACATGGCTGTGATAAACAGGGAGTTTAGGCACTTTCTGAACATTCTTGAGTGAAGTAAATACTCTAAATTATTAGACTTTTATAAGGGAATTGTAGAAGTCTAGTCTGGATTTAAAAAAAAACAAACTTGTTAAACAAGTCCCCATTTTGATTATAGTTAGTGTTGATTTGAAAGGCATCCTCTACTTGAATATTAATAACCAATAATAAAGTTTCATGCAAGTAATTCTTGATTTCTAAAGGAAATGCATTCATCTAACAAATATAGGCATTAAGCATCCATTGCATATAAAACGCCGTATGTCCAAAAATGAGTGATTCCTATAGCCTCTTAGAGCCAATTTTATATCTTTCAGATTTCTCTTTAAAAAAAAATGTCCCCCCCATTCCTAACTCCCAACCTCTCATGTTCCTTGGCCAAGGAAGAAACACTGCTGATTTAAGCTGTCAAGAAATGTATGAAAACAATTAAATGATCAAATGCCATTTTAGAAGAAGAAACAATTATGTCACAGAGCCTCTCCTCAGTGCCTGAAGTATTCATCTTGTGGGCAGGAACTAGATAACTTATGTTCCCCTTAGTAGTAGGAGCAGCTTGGTTCAAGAGTTAGAATATTGAGCTTAGAGTCAAGAAGACCTGAGTTTGAAACCTACCTGAGACACTTACTATCTTTGTGGACCTGGGCATGTCACTTTATCTCCATCACTCTGTTTCCTCATCTGATAATAGACCTACTTCACTGGGTTGTTTTGAGGAATAAATGAGGTGTAATATAAGTAAAGACTTTAAAAACCTTAATATGATATATAAATATTAGTTCTTTTTATGATTCTTATTAGAAATGGTATGATGCTTGGCACATAGTAAGTCCGTAATAAGTGTTCATTTTTTTCATTTGTTTAGTGAAAAGTAAAAATGGAGGCAAAAGATGGCCTAGTTTGCCTTCATGAAAGAATCAGTCAGGATGGAGAAGACCCTCAGACTTTCTGGCCAGAATAGAAACAGTTGCTATTTACACTCACTCTGAGCCATCAAAACCCAAACAATGAGCTTGAAAAGGCCAACGTCTCCCCCTGCATCGAGGGCCATCGCCAGTAGCCCTGACTAATGTTTTACCACTAGGCTCTAACAACTCTGGAGGAAAGAATGAGACTTTGCACAGCTCTGCCTTACATAAATACAATCCACTTGCAAGTCAAGATGTCACCCTCTTGATGTCATTGGTCCACTTTGAGAATGAAGGACAAACAATGATCTGAATAGTGAAAAGTAAGCTAGATTTGGAGTTAAAGGACCTGGATTTGAGACCCAGCTCAATCACCTTGGATTGTGGGACCTTGGATAAGTTCTTTAACCTTCCTAGGCCTCATGTGTAAAATAGGACCCCTTTCAACTCTGAGCTATGATCCTGTGACTTCTAAGGTCACTTTTGTCTTCAAATCTATGATCCCAAAGCTCTATAGATCACTCATAGCAATAGCCAAGGACACCCCCCCAAATTATTAAGCAACTATTCTGTGCAAGTACTATAATAGGTAACTACCCTGTAAATATAAAACCAATCCTATTCTCAAGGAGATTGCAGTTTAATTGGGCAAGAAAGAACATTTACAATGAATAGTTATATACAAGGGACAGTTAAATAGCTACAAAGAAGAGATCTTTGCAAAGTACTATGAGAAATTTGAAGAAGTCAATTCTCTTTGAGGGAAGAAGGGAAGGGAGAATAGCCAGAGGAAACTTCATGGAGGACATGTTACCTGACTTGGGCCTTGAAGAAAGGGAAACCTTCAATAATAAGAAAGATAAATGTGGGGAGGACAAAAGCCAAAGGCACAAAAACAAGAGAGGATGGGGTGAGAATACTAGGCGGAGAGTATCTGAGGTGTGACTGATCATAACATTTAGGATAAGGTTAACATGAGGTTAGACAGGTTAACTTGCCTCTGCCTCGAAGAATCCCTGAATCTTCCTTCAAGAGCCAGCTCTAGGGTCGTTTGCAGGCCACCTTTCTTCATCTCTTTGATTGCTAATGTTCCTTCTCTCTCCTTTATCTTTGAATTATCATGGGTATTTTTCCCTATTTATATGTTCCACTCCTGTACTCTTGGTGAAATATTAATTCCATGAGACTAGGTAATGTTTGCTGTTGTTTTTTTTCTAAATTTTGTTTATTTTTCTTTTCCTTGTATCCCTATCACCTGGCACAATGCCTTGAACAGCAGCAGGCACTTAATAAATGCATCATGAGTTTAATGGGGAGGGTGCGTCGGGGAGAAGAATGTGTGAATTGGGCAGGGCTTGAATAGCAAAATCATAAGTTTGCATTTTATTCTGTAGGCATTAGGGAATTAATGTAAATTAAGTTGATGTAAAATCAAGCTGAGGATCCTAGATTCATAATTAGAAGGTTCCTTAGGGGTCATCCAGTCCCTTATGTAATAAATAAGGAAACAGAGATCCAGAATCCATTGTCACTTGGGTAGTAAGTGGTAAGAGGCAGACTTTGAACTCAGACCTTTCAACTCCACACCCAGTGCTTTTTGAAACTATGCCATGCCTTTCCCAAACAGAATGAGGCCCTACCTGAGGCTGAAACTCAGCAACTTCAGATTGTAGGATTGATTTACTATCACTTGCACTAAGAATGCCCGTGAAAATAATCCCAAACTGCATTATTACATGGAGAACTTTTTTTCTTCCTCAGGCTCTCTGGCTCCTCCATTAATCCATTCAAAGACATACACACACCATGAAAGCTAGGGCAGGGAAAAATGCACCTCCCCACACACCCCATCAGCATCCCAGAAGCTCCTTCTTTGACCAAAGGGATTATTTCCTGCAATGAGGCAGGGGAGGGAGCTGACAGAAGATATTTTCCTAGCCTAGTTAGAGGATCACTACTTTTGCAGATCAAGGCAATTCAATTCTAATGTTTCTTCATGCTGTGTTACTGGCTGAGATTCTGTCTTTTAAGCCAAAAAGCTTTTTCCTTACCTTCGGTTTGGGAGTCAGGGAATATTGCCATAGAATCTATAGTTAGAAATATTTGCATTTATTTCTGTGTCCTAAAAAAGCACAGTAATTGTTCACTGCTATAGCATTTGGGGTTTTTGTTGTTATTGTTTTTTCTTTTCCTCTTGGCTCTTAACACACATATATCAAATACTTAGGGACTTTGGCTGTGTGTGTATTTCCACATAAGAATTTTAGAGAGCAGATTTTTTTTCCCCATAAAATTGTGTATTATGAAATGTCCGTGGCAGTTGCTTATACAAATGTTTCTAGATCAAGTCTGTTACAACAGGAAAAATGTTTTAAAAAATTCCAGGTGGAGCCAATATGGTGGAGAAAAGGCAGCAACTCTCCTGAGCTTTTCCCAGAACCCTCTGAACACCTTTAAATAATGCCATAAAACAATTCCTGGGGTGGCAGAACTCACAAAAGGACAGGGTGAAATAATTTTCCAGCCAAAGACAACTTAGAAGATCAGCGGGGAAAGATCTGTTCCACTGGGGTGAGAGTGAAGCAGGCTGCAAAAGCAGACCAAGTCCCAGTAAACCAGAAGCAGACCTTGGGAACCACTGAATCTGCAGCAACAGTAGCAGCTCCAGGAACTCTCAGCCCACGGAGGGTATGAGGTCAAACAACAACTGTTCAGAAAGAGATTACAGGGGTCTCTTTGCGACACTAGGGGCACCACTCTGTTGCTTTGCCCATACTCAGATTGGGGTTGCGATTCTGGGTGGCAGTTTCAGGGCGAGGAGGAGCACTAGCACGCTAGAGCAGGCAGCAGTGAAGCAGGGACCCTTGTCATAGTTCCAGGGCAAAAAAGACGATTTGTGGTCACTCACAGACAGGAGCACAGGCAAGGAGAGTAGTAAACACTTCTCCTTAGATCATACCACCTTGGAAGAACTGAAAACTTACAGGTTCCTAGAAGTATCTCTGAAAATAGCTGCACAAAAACCCTGAAGCTTGGGACAGTGTACCCTCCACCCTGGAAGCAGAACCCTACTTTAACAAAGAGCTAAAAGTCAAGAAATAAACTGGGAAAATGAGCAAACAACAGAAAAAAAAAATCCTGACCATAGAAAGTTACTATGGTGACAAGGAAGATCAAAACACATACTCGGAGAAAATGATGAAGTCAAAGCTCCTACATCCAAAGCCTCCAAGAAAATATGAATTGGTCTCAGACCATGGAAGAGCTCAAAAAGGCTTTTGAAAATCAAATAACAGAGGTAGAGAAAAAATTGGGAAGATAAATGAGAATGATGCAAGAAAATCTTGAGAAAAGAGTCAACAGCCTGATAAAAGAGACACAAAAAAATCCTGAAGAAAATGACACCTTAAGACTGGGCCAGATGGTAAAAAAAGGTACAAAAAAAACTAATGAGGAGAAGAACGCATTGAAAAGCAGAATTGGCCAAATGGAAAAGGAAGTACAAAAGCTCACTGAAGAAAATAATTCCTTAAAAATTAGAATTGAGCAAATGTAAGCTTATGACTTTATGAGAAATTATGAAACAATAAAACAAAGCCAAAAGAATGAAAAAATAGAAGACAGTATGAAATATCTCATTGGGAAAACA